ATTTCAGTGAATAACTCCTCGGCTCTCCTGTTCTCCTGATACTTTTTCGAAAATTTTGCATTTGAAAATTTCAGTGAATACCTCCTCGGATCTCCTGTTCTCCTGATACTTTTTCCAAAAATTTTGCATTTGAAAATTTCAGTGAATACGTTTTCGACGTTCATATTCCCATGATACTTTTTCAAAAAATTTCGAATTTTTCAATTTCTATACTTATACTTTTTTCCTCGATACATTACCACTCGATCTTTTTACTATTCGTTGGCATACCAGGGGCCTATGTTACCAATTGTTGGTATTTCAGGGACTCGCATTACCGACCGCCATTATTCCACTGAGGCGCGAAAATTCGAAATTTTTGAAAAAGTATCAGGGGAATATGAACGTCGAGGAGGTATTCAATTTTTAAACAATATTTCTATGGAATAGCCATTTACAAAAACAAATTCGAATTATTTAAATAAAAAAAAAAATGAATCGTGCCGGGAGCGAACCCTAGCCGTCGGCGTGGCAGTCAAGCACGTTGCCGATTACGACAAAGCGCTTATTATAAAATTATAATTTCATTAGGAGTATATCTTCAATAGATTGAATAATTTTTTTCATCTGAAATTCCACAAGATGTTGCTTCCCCCTTCCGCTCGTTCTAAGTCGGCTAAATTCCAGTGAAACAAATAAAAAACAAAGAGCATTCATACTGCAGAAAATAAAACTCACCCCGTCGACTTGATGGGGTGAATTTTATTCCCCAGACATTGCATATTGCGCCCTCCCTCTCTTGGGATGCAGTACTACGATGCCTCTGGGGTCACTCAACCCCAGACCCAGTCAATCCTCTGGCTCCACCTGAAAATTTCCAAAGTTTTTTTTTTCAACGAGAAATTCAATGGCGGCTCTGCGTCTTCCGGTTTTTGCCAGTTTTCATTGCTCCCGCGCGTGTTGTGTTGGTCGCATCTAATTACACCGGTGCAATTACACTTTTTCGACACCTAATTATTCGAGAGTAATAGATTTCCGGACGTATCAGGTGAGAATGAACATGAAAAATCATTACGACAGGTCTCACTCGTTATTTTTTAGTAATTAGTTTTCGGGGAGGTATGGAGATCATCGTAGCATCCGCACGTGGCGTAATTGAAGTCCCATTACCCATTTCAATGATTTTTTGAGACTGCCAATCCCCTATTTCTGTGGAATAAATAACAGACTAACTGTAACAATATTCAATAACCATTTTTCATTATTTACAATATCAGAATGTTCTCTGAAAAAATTATTTATTAATCCCCCAGAGGTTGATTAATTTATAAATTTGTTTCCTCCCCATTCATTTAATAATAACAATAATTTTGCAGCTCCTGATCATGGGTAAAGCCAAGAAAGTCACCCAGCAGGGGAATCCCCAGAAGAATTCTGCCGTGGCCATCAAAGAAGGTCAAGTGAAGAAGAACAAGGTGCAGAAGTTCAAGAAGACACCATCAGGAAAGGTTCCCATCATCAGTAGCAATGGAAAGGCAAATGGAAACTCCAAACCACGAAATGAAAAGCCCCTGGTGAAGGAGCAGTCAAATCCTCCCCAGAAGAAGAGGAAGAATAACAGCTCGAGTCAAAGTCCATCTCCCCAGAAGGGTGGATCACCCCAGAAGCAGCTCCAGAAGAAGAAGAAGGCAGAGCTGAAGAAGAAAGAGCAGTCCGAGGAGGATTCTGACTCTGATGAGGACATAAATGAGGGAATCTCCATCTCAGAGGATGTAAGCAACATCGAGGATGACTCTGATGATGATGACGAGGAGGTGGAGACTCCAAACATCCTTGGAGAGAGTCTGGCCAATTCCTCTGATGAAGATGATGAGGACTTCGAAGGTAGTGACGATGAGGAGGTGAATAAGGGCGTGAAGAAGTTCAAGGGAATTGCTGCGAAGAAATCAGCTGAGGAGGACGATGAGGACGACGATGATGACGAGGAGGATGATGATGAGGACGAGGATGAGGAAAATGGGGAGAAAAGTGTCGCCTCGTCTCTTAATTCCTCGCTCAATTCGTCAGGAGTTAGCAATGATAGTGATGAAGATGATGAGGATGATGATGATGATGACGAAGAGGATGAGGAAGAGGAAGAGGATGGCCCTGGGTTGAAAGCTCTGCTTGGCGAGTCCCTGGTAGACCAAGAGGACGATGAAGACTTCGAGGCTGAGGAAGACGAGGACGACGACGACGAGGACATGAGTGAAGATGATGATGAAGAGTCCCAGGACGAGAAAAACGCCAGCAACGACTCCTCTAGGTTCGTACCAACTGAGGGCAATCCCAAGCTGAGTGCCGAGGCCAAGCTTGAGCAGGATACAAGGACGATTTTCGTGGGGAACGTTCCTAAGGAACTCGAGGAAAAACTCCTCAAGGCGACTTTCAGGAAATTCGGGGAGATCCAGAGCTTGAGGATCAGGGGCTGCATCGCAGAGGATCCTAAGATGAAGCTCAAGGTCAGTTTATAATTTTATTTTAATCGATGGGATAAATTCACAAATAATTTTAAAAAAAAACTTATTTCTCTGATTGAAGGTCGCTGCCATAAAGAAGAAGTTGCATCCTCTTTCCAAGGCCATCTGCGTGTACATCGTCTACAAGTCAAAGAACTCAGTGGATCAGGCCCTAGGATTCAACGGTCAAAAACTCGGTGGCAATTACATCAGAGTCGACAGAATTGGTCAGGAACGTCAGGCTGACCCCAAGAAATCCGTCTTCCTGGGGAATGTACCCTGGGACATCGAGGACAACGAGCTCTGGGAGCTCTTCTCCAAATGCGGAAAAGTCGATTACGTTCGAACAATCAGAGATCGTCACACCGGCTGCTGCAGGGGAATAGGTTACGTGAATTTTGCTGATGCAGATGCAGCAACTCTGGCCCTAGACCTCAGTGGAACGAAAATCCGGAAACGAGAGGTCAGAGTGGCTCGTTACGACCCCAACAGGAAGAGCAGTCCCAAGGACAAGAAACGTCCGAACAAGGGAAAACCCCAGGGTTCACCCAAGAAGATGAAGACTGAGGTGGAGAGGGCAACGGAGAACAGCTTGAATGCCCAGAAGAGGAAGGCCAAGAAGCCCAAGGGTGCACCAGGGGGTGGATTCCAGGGACAGAAAGCTGACAACAAAAAAGGCCAGAAGAAGACCAACAAATTCGACAAGAAGAAGAAAAACATCGCTGCCAAGCTCCTGGCACCCAAGAAGTTCAAGCCTTCTCAGTAGATCATTTTCTCCTCCTTAATTAATTAAGATTGTTAGTTAAATATTGAATTATCCTGGCAGAGAATTATTTTAGAGGAAAATGTTGCTGGAACTTTTTAGAGACTGTTCAATTCCCTGGAGAAAGTCCTTACGACATTTTCCCGAATAACCTCTGGGTACACGGACAATTCAAGGATTTCACCACTTCTTCACTGAATTATGTTCAATTATTGTAACACTTGTTGACGGTAAATGTAAATAACTTTGTTTATATGAATGAACTTCACATTTAGAAAAATCTGGACGTTGAAGAAACAGTGGATAATTGAGGAAAATTCCTTGAATCTATCAGGACGAATGAATTATCAATTTTAAGATTTAATTTTACTCTGTAATTGTTTCGGTAGATTGTCATTATTGTTTGCGCATTCTTTGCAAAATCGTTTAGCGTAGAAAATACTGCAGCTGAGACAGACAGATTGTCCACAAATGGAGCAGTCGCCTCCTAGAACGAGAACTTGTCCTTTATTGGGTGGAGTGAATGGATCTTTCATGATGTAACACTCCTCGAGGTACACGATAGCTCGTGAGAACGGGGGTTTTGTCCCCTTGTAGTCGAATCGCTCCTCCAGGGAACACCGGAAACACTTGAATTTCCCACCAGGTCCATCGTCACGTTCTCCAATTTTTTCTCCAGCGATCTCTGTGGCAGCCCTGAACAGCGAAAAAGGGAAAATACGAGTGAAGAGGTGACAGGAAACTGCAGGTGATTTTATTGATACTTTCTAATGAGTTGTATTCACTATTTTCATAGTTTTGTTTATCCAATAATTAAATACAATTTTCTACGTATCATCTTCAATTTATTCCAGTAATTGGATTTCAATTGAAATATTCCCCTCAACTCTTACTCGATAATTGAAAAATCCAAGAATATTCCAAGTCTTGTCTCCAGAGAATTCAGTCCTCCCTTCCGAAATTCGTGTCCAGGACTCATTGACTAATGATCTTCTCCTTGGGACTGTCGACAGGCCACCAAAAGGGTTTTATCGCCCTGACATTTTTCCCCAGGACTGTGAGCCTCTCAGACCCCAGGGCCTCTGCAATTCTCACGAGCCCCACGCCAAATCTTCCCTGAACTCCTTTTATCTTCCCCACAGCCTTCCCCCCATCTCCCAGGACGTTCTCATCCGTCTGGACATCTCCTCCAGGATCTTCCTCAAAAATCAGAGGCATGAACCTCTTCCTGATGACTCCAGTGTGGTGTGTCCTGGCTGTCAGCTCCTGTCCGATGTAGCAGCCCTTGTGGAAGCTCACCCCATGGAGATAATCACAGTTGACCTCCAGGGGAAGGGCTTTCCCCGGGGGTAGATCCTCCACGCCTTCACCTATTCCCAAACGGTACCTGAGGCATTCCACAAAATCCATTTGCAATTTTTGTCCTCTAAATGTCAATTTCGATTCGTATAATTGATTCGTATTATCGTATTTCGATTTGTATTATCTCCCTAGAAATGTGGAGAGGATACAAATTTTTAGGGCAGAGATTGCTCCAGGATTTTGGAAATGTCTCACCTGAATTCCTTGTAGTTAATTCCCTCATTGTCCTCCTCGACGAGAAGTCTCTTCATGATCTCCGTCCTGGGGACGTCCTGCAGGCTGAGGACTCTCATCGCCAGGGACGGAATTCTGGGGTCCTTGAATATCGAAACGTCTTCAAGGTGTTCCCCAGGGGTTTCTTCAAGAGATCTACAGGGAAAATTCACGGTTTTCCCCTCTAATTTTGATTTCTCGAGGTTCTTCAGGTTCTCTGGATCGAAATCCTCATCGAAAAATGCCCAGACCCTCGTCGATGGGTCCAGGGTGATGTCCACCTTCTTCCGAATTTTGTACATCTTCAGGTGTCTCTGGAGGTCCTGAGAAATCGCGGTGTCCACCTCCAGGAGAAAAGCTTCTGGTGTTTTTGATCTGTAGATTATTGTGTCGTAGAGGACTCGACCTTTTGTGTTCAAGAAGAGGGAGTACATGCTCGGGGTGCTCTCGAGGTGGCGCATGTCGTTGGTAATGAGCCCCTGGAGGAATTCCAGGGTGTCTGCACCTTTTACGGAGATCAGGGAACGTGTCTGGAGGTGTTCTAGGACTCTTCGACGAGGGGAGAACGAACTGGAGATGTTCCTGGTGAACCCCAGGTGGTGGCGTCCTTGGGGCCCTCTTAGGAGACCTCGCAGAAGGTTCTGCATGTACGCTCGCTTCCTTTTTTGAGGAGTTTAACATCTTTATTGCTGTTTTCCGCG